TCCGATGCCTCTTTGCCCGTCTGCCCTATCGCTGCCTTTTTCTAGCACGAGCATTTGTCCTCTGGGCAGGGCCTGCCTCCTAACCAAGCATCTCTTCCCTGCCCGGCACCAGGGAACCGGAGCCTTAGCTGGGACCGCTGGGATACACCTGATAAGGAATCATAATAATCAGCAAGTCCTTTGGCAGACATAAAAGCAGAAAGCATTTGTCCTAATTACATTTCTGTGAAAGAGATGGGTTAAGGCATTTCTGGGATGCTCAGGGAACGTAACAAGCATTAACACATAAAGCAGCAGGAGACAGGGAAAGGAAATTACTGAGAGATGGAGGCAGACAAAGCACTAACGCATTCAGCTGCCTCTTTAACCCAGCTAACAAGCGGCAGCGTCGGCATTTGGCGTGACAGCACCCGCCCGGCGCAGGGTCGGGCACAGAGCAGCAGGCGACGGTCCCCCCGCCGTCCCGGCTCCCGCCCACCGAGGGTCTCGGGGAAACGTCTCTGCGGCAGGCCACGCGTCTGCGGAAATCCCAGGGAAGGATGAGGTCTCACACCTCCGAGACCGGCGATCAGCTTCCGTGTGGGTCAGCGGAGCCCAGCGCGCCGGCGGGAGCCAGCAGGGATGAGACGAGCACGTCCCGCGGCCAGGCTGATTCTGGTGGGAGAAAAACCAGTCTCACGCGGGGCTTCGGCAGATCGCTCAGCGCCTGGTTGCTAGCTGGAAGTGGCTCCCGACACGCTCGCGGGCTCCCTCCTTCCCACGCGCGCTGCTGCCTGCGGGCACGTGCGGGGCCCGTCAGGCTGCTCCTGCGCTGCTGTAAATCACTGGTGCGCACGGCCTGTGGGTGCTGTCGCTAACCGCTGGCACCTCCTGATCGGAATGGATGGGATCACCCGAAGCAGCTCCGCTGCCCCGGAAATCCATCTCAGCTGGACTGAGGTTACAAATCTCTGCAGCTCCAGGCTTAGCTGGGACAGAGACCCCCGGGAGGCTGCCGGTCTCCTCTGGGGACCTGACCTCATTTATCTGAAAAATGCTTTGGGGGAACGGAGAGAGGGGAGAATGCAGAAGGATTAATTTCCAGCTCCCCCAACACCCGCTGACCTGGTACCCATCACGGGAGTTATTAATGAAAGATTATTGCTGGCAGATCACACAGCTTGGGGCACTGTGGTACCATACAGTCACTCGTGCTATTGCTGCTGCTTCAAACGCTGTTCCCAGAACTGCGCTCCACCTTCCAGTGCGCCAGTGCTGAGAGCAATTAGCCAAAAGGCACCTGTAGCTGTTAAATATAGATCGAAACAGGCAAAATATTTATTATCTGTGTACTGCTATGTTGCTATAAAGGAGAGCCTTGCAGCCCTGTGCCTCCGAGGGGCTGAGCAGGAGGCAGGCGAAAGGGATCAGCGTGCATCTCCCTGGGCCCAGAGGGGACCGCTCCTGCCCCCAGGCAGCTAATTAAGGAGCCACCTGGCCCAGGCCGTGTCCCCTTTGGGGTGCAGCATGGCTGCTTCACACTGAAAAGCTGCTTCCAAATTTAAAAAAAAAAAAAAAAGAGAGAGACAGAAAGGAAAAAAGAAGTTAATCAGCTTTGCAATTAATGCCAGAGAGGCTTGGCCGCGAGAGGCGTCCCATCGCCCCGGGCCGAGCCTGCCTCTCGCCGCTCCTCGCGCTGGTAGTGCTCAAACCAAGCCCCGAGAAGGGCTCTATTTAATCGAACAAAACGCATCCACGTTGCTTTCTGAAGAAAGGCGGCCTGGCAGCCTCCCACATCCACTCGCCAACGAAGGGAGAGATGATTAAACCCAGCAGGTCACCCAGCCTTTGCTCCCCTGACATCGGTTTGCCTCTGTCACCCTAACTGCAGGGCATCTCCTTGCGGGAGACAAAAGCCTCTTGCCCCGGCAGCTCAGCGCCCTCTCTTCCCCGAGTCGCTGCCAGCGCTGGCCCACCAAAAGCTCTGCTCTTGATCACGTTTTGGGTCTGCGTACAGAAAAAGGCAGCTAAACTCAACACCCCTTCTCTTAACGGCAGTTGGGTTTTCCTGTTGCACTTCACCTGCGAGTTCCCTGGGAATTTATCCCTTGTAATAGCTTTATCTACCAGCGCCTTCGGGAAAGCCAGCTTTGATGTTAATTCTCTCCCTCTGAGACATTTCTCTAATGAACTTGTCTAGAGCACCTCGGTGCCAGTTGAGCAATGAGCTATTTCTAAGCAATCACAACCATGTTCCCAAGTGAGTCAGCAACTTGGAGCCAGTCGCCCCTTCCTGCCGGAGCCCCACCTGGACGAGGAAGAGCCGAGCGTTGGAAAGACAGACAGAGCAACCCGCCTCCCTGGCGTTATTCTGGGTACGGTCTCCAGTTCCGACGAAGCCAGTGCTAAAATCAGCCCTCTCCTGCCTGGGCTGCAGCCCCCACCCTGCGGTGCCTCAGCCCGTCCCAAGGAGGGGCCCAGCCCCAACCACCCGCAGGCAGGCGGCCCAGCAGGAAGCCTTTTGCACGAGGTTTACAGGCTGGGACCACGCGCACCGCGGCTTTCCGCGCGCCCTTGCAGCAACCAGCCAGCTGCTCCCCTATTAGCAGCATCTACGACCCAGGGAAAAATCTCCCAGGTCAGGTTTTCGCCTGAGACTGACCAAAGGTAGCAAAAATTGTTTCAGCGATTGCTGAGAAAAATGACCGAGGAAGAGCACAAAGCTGTACTAGGTCTGATTTATCTCTCTGAAATTATCATAAGCACAAGTAAGAAAGAGAAAGTTGCCTGAAACTCTAGCCCAGCCCTCTTTTAGAATAAGGGCTTGATTTGGCTGCGGCAAGAAAGGAAGGATCACAGCTATGTACCCGTGTCGCGCAAACAGCTCTCTAGATTTGGCCCTGCTAAAAGCTTCTGCAAACTGCAGCTTCTCCACGTTCAGTGCCCCAGAGGCCAGTCCTTCCCCTCCGCGAGCGAGGCAGCACCCGGCTCCGGACCATCAGCCCAGAGATCACCGCTGGCACCAGCTGCGACACCGCGGCACGTTTCAGCTGCTGCAAAACCCCAGCCGGATCCCAGATGCTGCCCAGCCTGCAGAGCCAGCAGCACATCTGACGCATCGCAAGAGATATTTCAATCCTGCCTATCAAGAGGAGCCGGTGCAGTAATTCATTAAATGGTGCTAGCAGCATGCTAGGGGTGCCTGCATGCATGTAGAAACACATCATCTTCCAAGGGGAACCAGAGACAGAAACAGGATTTGGCCTAAAACATGAGAGTTGTATAACCTAATTTTGCATATTAAGTTGTGTTCACTTAATACAGTGGTGATTCTCACCTAATTTAGATGAAGTCAAGGGTAAAAATCTCATTAAAATACCTGAGTAGAGACAGAAGTTTCTTGTAAATAAGAACACCTATTTCTTTATTTCATTTTGTGCGTTAGCACACCTATTTCTTTATCCTTGCACTGCAAATGAATGCACCCATTTCTCAGCTCTTTTGCTAATTTTTTTAATAGAAAAGACTTCAGCAGTCTACTACCAGGAAGCAGAGAACATGTGGATTGCTGGCTTTGCCTGATTTATTATGTTACACCCTACCCAGCTTCAGATTCCCTGTATATCATGGTGCAATCCATAAATCTGCTAGCAATTGTGGTTATTCGGTGTGTCAAGCTTCCCCCTCTTGCTTTTCTTGCAAGCTTTAAGGAGCTAGCACATGTGTGGTTTTGTTATTTCTCCATTCCACCTTCTCAGCATTGCTTCAGAAGTTATTTATTGCTCTCAGCTCAGGGTAATTGCCAGAAAATGAAGTTCTGTCTGTTTTTGCCAAAAGGAAAAAAGGAAGAAAGAGAATAAGGGATTTAGCAGAAAGCCCTGTTTACAGCAAGGTGCCATCTCTGACTCTTTAGAAATTCCTGATCAGACAGCAGTCTAGATAAAGCAAAAACTGCTTGCCTCCTAATGAAACCTCTATGTATTCCTAGTTAGAGCAATTGTTCATTCGCTATTCGATTTAAAAGAAACCTAAAGCTATTTTCGATACCAGGCAATCACGAATTTCCAGCTTGCTCGTATATGCCGTCCAGGTTAATGGATTTCAAGAGACAGTGAATTTTGTTAGAAACTTTTTCATATTCTATAGCTGCCTAAATTCTCCCCTCCAGAAGCACGAACGAGTCCCTAGCTCATGGCTAGATCTCCCCAGCCCTTCCTCTGACCTGGCCCTCAGTCCAGGCAGCGCTGCCTGCCTTTTAAATGCTTTCCTTCCCCCAACAGAAACCATTTCCCTCTCATTCCTTCTTGAGGAAGAAAGATGTATTTAAGACAGAAATACTATCCAAGATGCCCGGGCTTGCTTTCTGGCTTTGCTTACAGAGCCTCTCTACAGCACTGTGCAGGATCCTTAATCTCCCTATCCTTCATCCTCCTCCTCTATAAACCATAGCAGCATTGCCGCTAAACCAGCTCCCTGTAAATCACTTTGCAACCCTGCAGGGCAGCCGACGACACGCGTGCAGGTGCTCCCCCAACCCTTCCCCATGCATTACACCAGCCCCGCACCGCAGGGCCTGGCCCAGCGCTTTCCCTGTGCTGCCCCCACCCCAGACCCAGCAGCCAGCGCGGGGGACAGCAATGCGGGGAGGAGGCTGGATGTATGAGTACCAGACTTCGGCTCCTGCCGATAAGTATCTTCCCTCTGGGCAACGTTTTGTTGACAAAGGCGCAGAGACTTAGATGTATGTATTTCTAGTCAGAAAGCTCAGGAGGGGGTAGATGTGGTTTGCAGTAAGTTTCTCCTTCTTGGAAGTGTGGGGTTGGAGTTTTTATTCTTAAGCACCAAGAATAAGTTAATGCAACAGCAAAAAGAAAAGCGAGTGACTTAAGAGAGTCTTGACTGCTTTAATTTATTTTCACGTGTTAGTTCTGAGCTAGTTAAACGCTTGATAAACTCTTGCGTTAGCCACTAGTTTATGGTGACCCCGAGTCATTCAGGCTCCTCCAAGCAGTGAATCGCAGCAGCCCCCTCCTGCAGCACAGAGGGGCTGGAGAGCCCAGGGAAGAAGTGTGCGCATCTCTGGTAACAGACCGGATGCCAAGGGAAGGGCCATAGGAAACTTGGGGGGCTAAAAGAAGCTCTCTCATCCCTTGGCAACCTCTCTTAGGAACGGTGGCAGTTGCTTCATTACTGGGGCAGACGATGCTCGAGGAGGATATGTGGGTTAATTATCATCAGTCCTCCCATCTGCCCCAGGATCCTCTAGCACAGCCTGGCCTCTCCATTTTGGGCATAAGCTCCCTGAAGAAGGGCTCTCTCTCTCAAGAGTTTGCCTCTAGCGCTGAAGAGCTGAGCCCTGGCTCCTGCCCGGCTGCCTCCCTGGCGGTCCCGGTCCCACCAGCGGCGCGAGGGGACTGTTCCTAGCAAAGCCCTTGTTGCTGCTTTTCTGCCTCACCTCTGCAGTGGGACGATGGCTTTCCTCTGCTAAAAACAAATTTTCTTGTCAAGCGCTAAATAGCAGAACTCTCTCACTATTAGATCAAAGGGCTTATATTCTTCCCTATTTTAAAGTGCTCCGTAAGGCTAGATGACAGCAGAAGGAATTCACTGCTCCCTGCAAAGTGCCTATTCACCCCCTCCAAGTGGGTTTTATGCTGATGTCTCTGGTCAGAAATGAACCCAGGGGGGCTATAGAAGAGATGCTAAGAAGCTATTAGAACATCACCTTCCCTGTCCTTTAATTTGCAAAGGGAACTAATAGAGGGGAAAATCAGCTGGTGCAGTGGAAAAGACCCCAAAGTTAGCTGCCAGTGGTTGCAAAATATAAGATGATGCTGCGGGAAGTCTCCCAGTATTAAGCACAAATCCCTGAAATGTGCTACTGCTTGGCAGTTTTCAGATTATTTATGGCCTTTTATGCAGAACCAACCTGTCTGCCTCCATAGGCTTCCCCCTCAGCTGGCTGGCAAACAAGCCGACATGAAAAGCTGTATGAATAACACACGGAAACAGAAAATAAGATAGATAATACAAGGTAAAAGGAAAGAGAGAAAGCCACCGTTTAAATAATTCTGCTGTATTGCCACCTGTCATAAGTTATTGAGAAGGGCAAGCAGGCAAAGCTGGGGCACCGAGTTCAGAGGATGACTTCTCTGGTGTTAGTGAGCTGCAGCCTCAAATCCACCTGGGATCTCTGTCGACTAGCCCCGGCTTGTTTTAATTAGTATTTGGGTCTAGTCTTTGGTATAGCCATCTACTTCTGGAGGCAGGCGGTCTGCTTTTTGGTGCTGGTGGAAAATGAAAGGTCAAAATCTGGTATATCTCCAGCTCTTCCACTCTGTCCTCCTGCAAGCATCTCACACCTTGCGCTGCAGCTCCGAGCACATCGGGGAGCTGCAGGCAGCCAAACCCCTCCCTTCTCTTTCCAGTACCTGCTTTTTCTCTTGTATTGTCTTTTATCCCCACCCTCCAAAATCTCTGCATCGGTGAAGCCGGGGAAATAACCTGCTTACCAGAAGATAATTCCCAAAAGTCAAATGTTTAACAGTAACTCTGCCTTCCTGAGAATAGCCATTGACATAAGATTTATGGTCTACATGCCTTACTAAAAGGGGTTTTATTACAGGAACTACATAAATCTGGTGTAAAATGAGTCCTCCCTCCCTGACGAAAGCAGAATAACCAGCTGCGTGTCCCAGGCCTTGTCAGCTAAGTGACAGCACACAGAGCTCGAAGCAGGAGGATTTTTCTCGTCCCTGCTACAAAGCTGTCCTGGCAAGAGAGTGCCACTCTGCAACATCCAGGAAGCCCTTAAGTAACCACAGACATAATGGTAGCATGATGTGGACGTCCCAAAGACCAGTCCTGTGCTATAACCCACAGAAAACTGTCCTGTTTGTCAGACACATGCACTATTCTGGTGACCAAAGCAGACAGAGTTATTGTGCCTATTACCAAAAAAGCATTACTTAATTTTGTAAGCAATAATGTGATAGCTATAAATGTTTCTTTCAGTGGGAACTGCCACAACTTAGTTATGGGCTGGCAAACCGTATCTGTACTGCAATTTGTTAACATTGTTGATTTTTGTCCCCCCAAGCATATGTTGCAATTTGATTACATCCAAGTAAATCTGTTTGTCAAACATTAATAGCCTCCTCCTATTCTATTACTCTTTTTCTACCAGCACAGCCATCATATATAAATATTTCAGATCATTTCACACAATAAAGCCAGGCCAAGGGCATCATGACCTGATGATTTCAAATTGTTATTGACATATTTATTGGAGGCCACTGTGCTGGCAGGGTCCTAGCCAGTATCTGAATAAGGATGTAGTTGGAAAGCAAGGGAGGGAAGCCAAGCACAACAGCCCAGAGAAAGAGGGTATCATGCTCTGTTAGTCAAGCACTTGTAATCAGCGATATATGTCTCTGTTGGTACTGCTAATGGCATGAATACGAAAAAGAAGCCTGTCCTAAGGAATAACATCCTCTCCCTCCTTTCTGTCTCCATCAGCAGTCAATGTCCTAGGAATCTCTTGGATTAGCCTGCGATAACAACTGGGTCTTTTTAAGGAGAGATCAAGTCAGATCCGGCATGCAGCTCTGAGGGCTGTCATCTCCCACCATGTGAGATGCTCTTTATCCTGCCACATGGGATGCACCTGGATGATCAGGTCATGGGAGGACGCATGTCTGTGGGCAAAAAATAGGGGGGCCATAGGCCAGGGAAGGCTCTGCAGTCTGTCCCTGCTTGATCTCAAAGGTGGTGGCTGGCATTCCTCCATCCAAGTGGTTCAGCCTCTCAAGCCAGTAAAAATAATTTACTCATTTTGGTACTGCCTAATGTTAACTTCCAAGAGCTGAAGCTTCCTATATTGACCCCTCGCCCCCTCAAAAGCCAGTAAAAATAATTTACTCATTTTGGTACTGCCTAATGTTAACTTCCAAGAGCTGAAGCTTCCTATATTGACACCTCGAATCTCAACTGCCATATTTCTCTTGCTAGATTATTTTAATTCTTAATAACAGGGTATAATTGGTACTAATTAATATAAAATGCAATAAGCAACAATGCTAGTACCTTCCCCTGCTGCTTTATCTCATCAGCTAAGATTCATTGGTGACCACTGCTGGTTAATAACCTTCAGTGACCGAGGCTGTAAAGACAGAACTGGCTCCTGCTCGCTAGATTGTTTTGATGGTGTTGGAGGCTCCTTACCTCTGCAAGCTGATAAAAGTAACCGAATGCTGAGGCTGAGCTGGGCTGGATGGGCTCTCAGCACCTGGGATACCCACTGGGTGGGCGAGCGGGACCTGCAAAGGAAAACATCCGTGCACGCAGACCAGAGCGTGGAAAGGTACCTGGTCACTGCAGTGAAGACTGTCACTGGTCCCATTGTGGTGTCTCAAAAGCTGGGTTCCTGGGGCAGCGGGAGCCATGTCGAATTGGCGCCATCCTCTATGCCTTTGGGTGGAAGGCAACTCATGGTTAACAGGAGTCCTTGATGATCTTGTACCCAGCCAGGTGAGACCCCTGTTTGAAGGCAACACCAGGAGAGCTGAGTTGAAGCACCAGGGCCCTCCCGGGAATAGCTAAGCAGTTTCACTCCAGGCTGCTGGAGGATGCCACTGGCTCCATTGAGATGCTCATCTGTGGTACCAAAGATATCGTGACCTAGCAAATATCCTCTTAAAGTTTCAGACTCGCCTGTAAGCACTCACTCTTTATCTCCGTCTTTTCTGGTTACCATCATGGATGCCCCAAACTGCAAAGGGAGCCCTTCTGTAGAGGAGGCAAGAGCAGAGGGAGGCAGCACCCCGTGGGTGGCAGCCGTCATCTCCTGCCAGGGCAGCTGCGCAGCTGGACCCGCACATTGGCCCACTACCACATAGCTATCGCAGGTAGCGTGCTGAGTTAGCTGTGCTCTTTGCACTGGGGCTGGGAACCCCTGGGAGCCTGGGTGAGGACTTGCTCCTTTTAACTAGATCACGAAAGGGAGAAGCTTCCTCTGCCTAGTGCCAGTGCACGTGTTTTGGCTGCTAGTGACATGGCCATTGCGCCTGCATAGAAGGAACCCAGGCCATCACGGGCCACCCCAGGGAAGCCACTGGCTTACTGGCAAAGCCAAATTTTTAATAGCAGAGCAACAAGTGCACAAATTAGCAATTAAAATACAGCCCTTCTCTGGATGAGGACAGGAGTTGACTTGCTGGGTCATGGCTGTGTGCTGAAGTCCCATGCCCCAACTCCAACCACAGCCAAAATGAGATGTTTCAGATGCAAGTACCAAAAAAAAAAAGAAAAAAAAAAAAAAGAAAACCTCTCTGTAAGAGTTAGTTATAGGCTACAACTCACTGACAGGGAGAAACATCTTCCAGACTGGCCAGGTCTAGAAGTGGGTGGTTTCTCTGAAGCATAATGTTTCCTTGGCTGTCTACAGAGGTGAGAAAAAGAGGGAAACATTAAATTGTCCTCCAGCATGTTGTAAAAGGTAAGAAACAGGCTGTAGGACAGAGTTTTTACATCCTCTCTATTTTCCTAAGAACAGAAGTCGTACATTTAATTTGTTCCCCTTTGACTCACCTCCAGGACCTGATGGCAATCACAGCGGTGTTAGTGAAGGGAGAGAAACTGTTCACAGCCGTCCTGCTCCTCCGTCACGGAAAACGCACAGAGCTGAGCCTCCAGCTGCAGGGCGTCAGCAGGAGCTCAAGGGGCTTGTGTCAGAGGCTCTAAATTAATTTTGCCATGTGTGAAGCCCATTCATTATCACTTATAGGTGTCCGTAGGCTCACTCTGGGATGAAAGCCACCATCCGTGTCTGACTGTCCATTTCTGGATCCGGGAGGGATTTAGCCACTCTCAAGAACTGACCCCTGGCCTGGGACACCAGCCAAGCCCTGGCTCTCTGTCCCTATATCAGTCAGCTCTGCATCCAAAGGCTGGACTGCAGATCAGAGATCCATGCATACCTAAAAGCTGATGGATCAAAGACATCTTTCAGTTCTCCAAGGCAACCCCCTCGATTGCAAACGTTTGCCAAAGCGCAGAGCCCATGCCTAGAGCTCAGACATCTGCTCAGCTCTGCAAGGGGGGGACCTGGCTGGTGCCCAAGGATGAGTGATGCACGCTGGCCACTTGCCTGCCTCTTCTGCTCGCTTGTTTTCTGGGCGTCTGTGATCAGATCCCTGGCTGTCATGTCACTTCTTCCCGCTGCATCTCTAGGAGCACTATCACTTTTCCGACTGCAGCTCCCAGAAACCAGGACCGGTGGTAGAGGTGCCCCGAAAATTGCTCCGTGCTCCCTCGCTGGAGGGTACAGCTGGATGAGTCCCTGCCCACGCTGCAGCAGCATGTAGGGTTAGCAGCTGAAGTCAGGGCTGCACGTGGTGAAGTTATGTGAGACCTCGCGGGGCGGCTACACGCCCCTTCCAGGAGACACTAGCAAACTGGTGGGCGACCACATCCAAAACAGCCAGCCGGGCTCAGGGACGGTGCCAGGGAAAGCTTGCAGCCTCCCCTAAAACGCCCGAGCAGTGCTGTGCTGTCTGCTGGAGCGTCCCAGGGAGCTGCGGACCCCAGGGAGCACTCTCCAAACCGACCCAAAAACAGGCAGGAGCCATCCTCTGCTCTCTGCTTGCTGGCTTACTTCACCTCCGTTCATTCACCTGCTGCTAAGGAGGGTGATGCGCAGGATTCGGATGCAAATCAGCAGGTTGGGCCTCCCAAAAAAACCACTTAAGCAGTCCACAACAACTACCCATCTCCTTTCTATCCAAAGCCATCTGGTGTCTAATTTGGATGTGAATGTGAAGCAAGCTACCCCCTCTGCAAATTGCATTTAAACAGCTGTGCTTCCCAGTACCCCAGAATGGGTTTCTTGTGCTTCATTAATTCATACAGACTTTTCAACTTCTTTTTTTCCCCTTCCAAAAGCTGTTGGAGCTTATCAAGAGATGAAAGATTGAAGGACATGCATAATTAATGGCCTGGCTCTATTTAAATAATTTAATTTTGCTATCACATCTGCATTTTTCAGGTATGGCTTTAATTCTTTAATTACAGAAGAGTGTGCCACAGTGCTTTGCCTGATTAACAGTTGAAAATTAAGGCTGGATTGGAGTGTGGGAGGGGGAAGGATGTGTAAATACAGTAATAAGCATATAAAGTAGCTCAATAAGAGGTAAAAGTAAAGTGTGTCTTTGGCTAGGCAAATCTATCTACTTTAATGGGGTAAATCTTCAAGCCCTCAATGAATGAAAAACACCCGTTAAAGGCAACAGGCGCCGTTCAGGGGAAACGCACCTCGCTGCAGTGCGTGTCCAGGGCCAGGGAACCCGCGATGCTGGTGCCTACCTGGAGCCCAGGAAAGCGTGTCTGTCCGAGCCCCAGACGGGAGGAAACGCTGAAACCTCCCAAACGCTTCCCTGGGGCAGAGCTGCAGCCCTCGTGACCGCTGCGCTGCGCTCCAGGGAAGCTGCTCCCCAGGGAGGGCGGCTGCCGACCGCAGCGATTTCACGCAGCATTTTCGCGTCAGCAGGAGCGCTCGAACGGGGAGGCGAGTGCACAGGTCCTCACGCCTCGAGTCAACAGGAGCGCTGCAGAACAGCCTCGGCAGCAGCACCCAGCTGCTGGGAACCCCGGCGGAGGGGAGGGAAGGGGAAACCTGCGCTGGGGATGAGACTGGTCAAGTTGCCTTGACACCAGGACAACACCCAGAAGCTGGTGTGGCTGCAGAGACTTGCACAAATCTCCAGGGAAAAAACACCTCACAGCAGGTTCAGGGGCTTGGGGAAGGAGGAAGGGTCCCTTGTAAGCTGCCAGCAGCGCAGGCAAGCAGGAACCAGGGCCCTCCCCGCCCTCTTGCCAGAAGCCAGGTGGATCTGGGCAAACCTTGAGCATCCCAACAATGAAAGGCCACTTTTCACAGAAAGCTTTGCAGAGCTCTCACTACTCATGCTGAATTTTGAGAGCAGAATTGAGGCTCTGGGGTCAAGAGAAGCTGAATTCTCTCATCACGAACTGGTGTTTTCAACCTCTAGAAGGGAAGAAAAAAAACCTCTGGCCAGTTCAGGCAAGTGCATTTGCCAGCAATTATCCAAGGACCAACACTGACGCCAGCTGCAGAAGATAGCTTCTCCCTTGGCTCTGTTCCCAGCCCAACACTGAGCAGAGGTAGGCAGGTACATCAAACTGGGACGTCGCCACAGGAGAAATAGGAAGCAAAAAACTAGGGAAAAAAGCATCTGAAAGAATTAAGCATTAGAGCTTCAGTTTTCTGCACGGTGTGAATAAAAATGACTAAGAAACGCCACTGATGTGCCATCCTCGCTGAAGGGCAGCGCACTTGCCTGGCTGGGGCCACGCGCAGGGTGCTGGCACCGCAGACCTGCTGCTGTTGTTGCTCCTTGTTTGGGGGTTTTAATTGCCCTTTAATCGAGTCTTTCTAAGCTTATTTCTGTTTTTCTTTGATGGCTTGGTGGGTTTGCTTTACTTGTTTATATCCTCACAAGGACTTTTCAACAATAAAGAACAGTAAAGCTCAAAGCAAAAAGACTGGTACAGGTTTGAAAAATAAAAGCAACCATACGAAGCGTTTCAAGTGCTCTCTTCCAGCGGCCCATCCAAACTTTCTAGGGGACCACGCCTGGGAAAAGTTCTGGGATCATGCTGGTCCCGGGCAAGCTGCAGCCAGCAGCAGAGGAAGACCTGGGCTAGCTGAGCACTGAGCGCCAACCAGCATCACCCGGCTTTCTTAAACCCTGCATCGTGCTACCAAGAGCTAGCGAGAGACCAGAAAAGGCATGAGAGCTCGGTTATGAGCCGAGCTCGAAAGCTGAGCAGTCAAGGGAGATGAGTTCTCCAGGCAGCTTACCCTAAAACAGCAAACTCCTGGGATCCTTCTCCCCTTCCTGCATGGCAGGTGGTACATGTCACCGTTGACAGCAGCTGCTCAATGGGGAGACTCAGGTCTGCTCCTGCGACATCTTTAGACAAAAAATGGTTTAAATAACATCTTTTCCTGGTTTCTTTCTTTTTTTTTTTTTGTGTGAAGTGGGAAAGATGCTCCCAGAACAGAGGGGGAAAGGAGGGCACCTTGATTTGCTCTTGGCTGTGGTGCTCCCTGAGCCCGTCTACAGCTCCCTTCCTGGGCCGCAAGGATACATCAGTGATGGGACTCCAACCTAGCACAAACCAGCCCGGCCCGAGTGAAGCCGTCTTACGCCTGCCCTCGTGTGCGGTGATTTCCTTGTGTCGGCAGAGACAAACGCCCACAATTAACTGACAGCCTCAAAAGGGGAGTAAAGTGGCTCAAAGAGGAAGCAGTTTAATCAGGGCCAAGGAGAGCTTGCTGCTGTCAAAGGCTTGCCGATAAAGGCTACGGTACCTAACTGGGGCACGCGCACAGCCCTGGAATATTAAATCTAATGGTAAGATGATAATGATTAATTATCTCACCTGTCTACAAGGGGAATAATTTTCTCTTTACTGGAATAACTGAAACAGCTTCTCTTACGTACTAACAGCACTTTGCTGTCATATAGCATCTTAAATCCAAGAACTTTACACCCATTTGGCTAATTAGGACATGGTGTTGCCAGCGGTGGCTGAAGGACTCCTCCAGGATCGCTCTGCCCTCCGCTGAAACGCGATCATTTCTGGGGCTGAACGCAATAGCTGCCAAAGATCACAGTTTGGGAGAGAGAGCTGAAATACCTGGTCTGGCCGGAACAGCCAGGAAAAATGGGAGCGCTGGGATTTTACCCTCTGAGCTAGACTTGGCCCTAAGCAAGGCTGCAGCCCTGTGCCCGTCCGCCAGGGTGGCAGCCCGTGGAAGGGATCCCGGCGTGCCAGCGCTCCTGTGGCCACGTGACGGTCCCTCCCTGGGCACCACTTGTCTCAGCGAGCAATAAGGTGGCACTCGGTCATCTCCAGCTGACACCGGAGCTGTTACACCGTGCAGGAGCACTGTGCTAGGCAGCAGGTGAAGTGAGTCCTACTTAGAATCGTTATTTTTCAAAACCCCTGTGGGATTTTTGTACGCTGAATTCACCGGCATTACTGACATTCACAAATAAGCCCCAGCCTCCTCCTTGCTCTGATAAACACCTGCACAAAGATGCTGGATTACAGCTCTGTGCAACTCCCAGGGCGCTAATGCTTCCTGGACCCTCGACCACATCTGGAAAGGCTGGGGGGGAGGGAGGAGGGGGGCCTCATCTGTAATTCACAGTGCAAGTACAAATGAAATGCCACTTTTTTTTTTCTTCTCAAGTCTGAAAAATGAATTATGCATTTTCCCCCCTAGCACTGAACTATAAATTCTCCTTTTAATGCTTGGAACGTTTCTGAAGAGAAAACGACACCCCAGCTTCTATTCTCCTCCCTCACTCGGATTCGTTCTCTCCCTTCCTCCTTCCAAAACATCTCAGATAAATAATATGAAAATAACTTATACTTGGGTTTTTCATTTAGGTGCAGATTTACTGTGGCTGCTTCTCATCTAACAGCGCCCTGTGATGGATTTTATATCTCATCTGTGCAGATGAGGACGTGGGGAATTTGTGTAACCTCAGCATCTTCCTTGGAGATAAACCCAAGCATGTTTATCCCAAGGACCCGACGCAGCACAAGGAGATGCAGCACAATCCACCTGCCTCTGCTACCACCCAACTCTGCGCGTCACCCTTGGCAAGTCCCTCCCGGTCCTCGCGTTTCCAGGCTCCCAGATAACTCCAGCACCTTTTCTACAGCCCTGAGCTCCCTATGTGCCTTCTCCAGCCGGGCTGCGGCGAGCGCCGGGCAGGGACAGGCATGGCTGCTGCAACAACAGCAGCGTGGAGAATCTCTGCAGACCTACTGGCTGTCCTCTGGGAAAGCAGGACGCCCTGCGTTGCCCAGCCCAACGCCAGCCAGCGTAGCTCACAGCGGCTGCACACGGCGAGACCATGGGCGGCCCATAGCCCGCAGCCAACAGCAGCTATGTGCTGGAGACCCTTGGTGCGAAATTCAGTCCCTTTAGCTTCTGCTAGA